AGATGCTTCAGAGAAGGCCATAAAAATCCATTCACATACTTAATTGCACACTCTTGTACCATGGGAGACATATTGTTGTCCCAGCCCCCACTGGTTATCTATCCTTGCCCTGAATATTCAACATTTCTGTCCTCATGGTAGTTTGCAGATTTAAACTAATTAGTTCCTCCTCCTTCAAGAGGCCTTTTCTTACCCGGGAGATGGGAGATCTGGTTACCTGGCACCCTCCCCCATCTGTGAGCTCTTGCATTGAATCCTCATTATCACCTTGTGCCTGGCTGATCTTATGCTTAGTGGGCGTTTTGAGCTCCTGTACCATCAATCATTTATTGAGCACCATCTGCATGCCAGGAAGGATGGTACTGGGGAGAAAGGAAGACTAGGGTTAGGTTTTTTTCTGAGAGGAGTTCTAAGTCTACTAAAAAAAAAAAAAAAAAAACCCAACCCGTTGCAGTCAAGTTGATCCTGACTCACAGTGACCCTTTAGGACAGAGTAGAACATAGGGTTTCCAAGGAGCAGCTGGTGGATTCAAACTACCGACCTTTCAGTTAGCAGCTGAACTCTTAATTGCTGTGCCACCAGGACTCTGTAAGTGTACTCCTGGTGCCGGCCTGACCTAGTTTTAAGGGATGCTGGGAAATGTAGTCTTTTAACTGAGCAGCAATGTTTTCAGGTATACATTGCAGTTCTGTTCCTATGAAAGAAGGTATGGAGAATGAATTTTAGGAGGCAATTATCAATGTCTATCACAAGAGGCATCAAAGATTCTTAATAAAAAAAAAAAGCCCATTGCCGCTGAGTCAAATTCCAACTCATAGCCACCCTGTAAGACTGTGGAACTGCCCCATACGGTTTCCATGGCTCTAAATCTTTACGGAAGCAGACTACCACATCTTTCTACTGCGGAGCAGCTGGTGGGTTCGAACTGCTGGCCTTCCAGTTGGCAGACGAGCTCTTAACCACTGCGCCACCAGGCCTCCCAGAATTTAAATAGGGGTGTGATATACTTACATCCGCGGCTATGGGCATCTCTGATGAAGACTGAAAGCATCATTAGGGAAGAGTGTGGATAAAAAGAAAGTAAGGCAGAGGGCAAGTAATTAAGAGGACAAATAAGAGCCAAAAGCTGTTCACTGGCTTTAACAACTAGGAGAATATTGGAGGTGATCTCTGAGAAAGCTGTTCTTCAATAGTGATTAAGGTGCAAACAAAAACCCCTGATGGAGAAATTACCAATATTTGGTTCCTTTTGTGGATCAGGGAGCTAACAATCTGCTGCAGGGGAGAAAGATAGCTGCAGAAATCATTGTTCGAAAGGAATAAAGTCAAGTACTGTAGCAGAGGGGTATAAACGAAGCACAGAGAAGGGGGACATTGAATCCGATTTGGAGAGCAGGGAGAGGAGAAACGGAAAAATGAAAGCCACTTCAACAACAGGTAAGCTGGCCTCAGGTTTTGTTGTTGTTGTTGGGTGCCGTCAAGTCGGTTCCAAATCATAGCTACCCCACCTACAACACAATGAAACACTACCCCGTCCTGCGCCATCCTCACAGTCATTGTTATGCTTGAGCCACTGTGTCAGTCCATCTTGTTGAGGGTCTTCCTCTTTTCTGCTGACCCTCTACGAAGCGTGATGTCCTTCTCCAGGGACTGGTCCCTCCTGATAACATGTCCAAAGTACACGAAATGAAGTCACACCATCCTCACTTCTAAGGAGCATTCTGGCTGTACTTCTTCCAAGACAGATTTGTTTGTTCTTTTGGCAGTCCATGGTATATTCAGTCTTCTTCACCCACATCATAATTTCGCAGGCATCAATTCTTCTTTGGTTTGCTGTAAACACATTAAAATTTAGTAAAGCAGAAAGAAAGTTTTAGTCAGCATATATTCAAAAAGGCAAAAATGGGAAAGACAACCATGTTGCCACAGCCATGTCTGCCCGAGTCCAAAGACCATTACAAAGTCATCAGTATATATTAACATTACAAATGGGCAAAACCATTGACAGCTTCACCTTTTCACAGATTGGCTAGAAACTGTGATCCTACATTTTGAATTACCTGATTGGTACAGGTTTCAGTAAGGTCACAGTCAGGAGGGTCTTCATTGGTCCAATAAATTTTCGATTCACTAAATGTTAATAGAAGATAAGAGTGAAAAGTCTTTTGTGTTCTGTTTGGTTTTATGTGAAAGGTTCCCTAAAAGCTATTTTCCAAGATTATCTTAGCTATTGTCTTTATACCTCAGGGCCCAGTTGATGTGGCCTTATTATTTTCTAAATCAGGCCCTCCTCATTCATCGTCCAGCTCAGGGGCTGTAGTTTCATGAAGCACGAGGGACTTCATTTAATTCACTCTCTCCATGTCATTCCATTAATTCCCATTTACTATTCCGTAAACTCTATGAGACAGGGGTCCTGTTCATCGCCACACCCTTGACGCCAACAACAGTGCCTGGTATTGGCAGGTTCCCAATATTAACTGATCAAAGGCAGAAAGGAGAATTGGGACATTTATCCCTTTCTTTTCACGATTTTCTGCAGGACACCGAGGCCTACACAGTGCCAACCGGAAGAAAAGAGACACGGCTGGAAGCAGCAGTACGTTTTACCGACAACGAACTACCCGGACCTGCGCAGAGTGGCGGAATCTCTAAAGGCGGCCAAAGCTGGAAGCTGCGGAACCTGAAGGCAACGGAAGCTGGGGCGGCGGAATCCGGAGGCGACGGAACCCGTGGGCGGTGGAACCTTGGACCCAGCGGAACCCATCAGGGGCGCCCACGGGGCCACCCGGACAATGCTTGCGACGGGAACACAGCGGCCGCAGCTTTCCCGTTGCGGGGCGGCGCCGAGGGCCGGGTTCAGCTTCTGCAATGTTGCCCTATACGGTGAATTTCAAGGTGTCGGCTCGCACCCTCACGGGGGCCCTCAACGCCCACAACAAGGCGGCGGTGGACTGGTGAGGGCGACGTCTCGAGGCCGCCTGGGCTCGGCCAGAAGTTTGTGAGGGGAGGGAAGGAATGAGAGGTTGCACCCCTTTGATTAGCTCTGCCTGGCCAAGACAGGGTGCAGCCCTCACACTATGGAGATTTTCTTTTAAATGTAGTTATACAAGTAATAAATGCCCCATGTGGAAAATTTCCCTGTGCAAACACATCTGGCCCCTTCGGCGCATCTTTGTTTCCGTTGCTGCTCTCCGCTTCTCCTTCCTTGCCATCCGCTTCCCCGCCCTTCACCTCCTCCAACCTCGGGCTTCTCGCCTCAACTCCTCTGCCTACTTTCTCCTCTCCCGCCGCTGTCTCTTCCCTTGCTCTCTCATGTCCCTGTTTTTTTATACATTCGACAGTGTGCACTTCATCGATGTGCCGCACCGTGTGTCTGTCTGTTCTTCCAGCTGTCCTTCATCTCTCCTCTGTCTTACCCGGCTCTTCTGTGGGACTCTTCCGTCTACAACAGGTCGTTTCTCTTTGTGTTCGCGCTGTAAAAACAACA